TTATACAAGCAAGGAAATGTAGTCATCATGTACCATGTGACAGTTGTGAAAAACATTTCGAGTTATAATCATGTGAAGATCAATGTGGCCAGAATTATTGTCACTTATTGTGTCACATGAGCAAATATTTCACTTCCCAAAGTAATAGGTCAAGAGATAATATTTAAAACTTAAAAATCAAGAAATAGCATTATCTGAAAGAGCAGGGGTGGATTTCACCTGAGCCCATGGAAAGAGCTGAAGAGGACTGACTCTGGGAGCGATGCTGCTTTCTGAACCTGGTGAAACTTTTAAACTGAATTAAAAGAACAATTTAAAAATCAACCCCATGCATGAAATTTCTAAGGAAGGCTATAAGAAAATGAATCAGTAGATGTTAGAGAGTAGGGAAATTGCATGTGAACCATAAGTATTTGTTGTATACTTGTTATACTCCTAAATCATTTTCTCTCATCAGTCTAGAAAGTGGTCCTCAGACATGAGTGGGGAAACATTCAGGAAGACTCCAGCCTCTCCTAAGGAATTTTGAGAAGCCAGGCTGGCTGATGGGACTCTGAGCAGCTTTGGGGGTCACAGTAGGAAAAGATGGATTATCAAGTGGCAAGTGCCCACCCAGACCCCAAGATCTGCAGCAAGCCAAAAATGTGAGTGCCTGTCAACACAGTTTTTGTACCTGCCTCATTCTTGTCTCTGTTCATGATTACTAGACCTAATAATTTACATTCAGTGAGTTAGCTCTTCACTGTTAATTCCTAAAACATTTTCTATGTAATTTTTAAATATGATGACACTTCATTTCTATTAAGGACTGGTCAAGACATATGGACTATTTATGTCACATAGCAATCTCAGGCTAATACACTCATAAACTGAAGAGAAGACTATATCACCTGCAGTAATATCACTCCTGATAAACCGACCATGTCTTCCACCGACCCCCATTTGACTCCTCTTTTTTTAAAGTAAACTTTTTATTTTGGAGTAACTTCATATTTACAGAAGAATTGCAAAGATAGTACAGATAATCCCTGTGCACAGTTCACCCAGCTTCCCCTTTTGGTAACACTTCACAGCATCATAACGCACTTGTCAAAACTAACAGATTAACATAGCTATTAAATAAACTCCAAGCTTTATTCTGAGGTCACCAGTATTTTTCCATCACTGCTTTTTCTCTGTTCCAGGATGCAGCCCAGGAAATCGCATTGAAATCTTTTTCTGGGTTTTTTTTTTATTTTTAGATATTAAGCATCACATGTCTGGCTCCATTTTTAATTTTAGCAAAGATCTGGTAAGCCTGTCATGTGACAAAAATAAGATGGCGAGATAAAATAAGAATTCTCTTACTTTCCATTTTATGTGTTTATTTTTTTATAATTTTCTTTTGCAATTTGTTTATATTCAATATTGTATTACTTCATGGTGTACAGCATAATGGTTAGACAATTATATACTTTACAAAGTGCTGACTTTGATATTTCAAGTACCCACCTGGACCCAAACATAGTCATTACAATATTATTGACTATATTCCCTATGTTGTACTTTACAAAACACTGTCTATTTTATAACTACCAAGTTGTGTTTCTTAATCCCTTCACATTTTTAACAGTCCCCCAATCCCCTTCCTCCCCTCTGGCAACCATCAGTCTATTCTCTGTATCCATTAGTCTGTTTCAATTTTGTTTGTTGATTTATATTGTTATTTAGATTCCATACATAAGTGAAATCATACGGTGTTTTCTCTGACCTAATTATTTCACTTAGCATAATAACCTTTAGGTCTGCTCTTACTGCCACATTAGTAAGATTTCATTCTTTTTATAGCTGAATAATATTCCATCATATATAAGTACCCCAGCTTTTTTATCTTCTCATCTATTGATGGAAATCTAGGTTGCTTCCATATCCTGGTAATTGTGAATAACACTGCAATGAACATAAGCATGCATATATTCTTTCAAATTAGTCTTTTGGGTTTCTTCAGATATATGAGGTCTGTCCAGAAGGTTTCCAGTCATGCAATGTGAAAAATATAAACATTTATTTAAAAAGATACAATATATAAGAAACATTGTGCATAGGACAATGATGCCTCGAGTGTCCTCCAAAGTAGGCACATTGGGACCTCACACAGTTCTCCCAATCATCACCTGCTGCCCCATTGTATTTGCCTGAATCTCATCAATGGTCTGAAATCTCTTCCCCTTTTAAGATGATAGGAGTTTTGGGAAAAGTCAGAGTTGCAGGATGCCAAATCTAAAACTGTTTTCTGTTTTAATGAGGAAAAATATCCTAAAGGCCTCTGCATGAAACATATTATTTTATGGCAACAAGAGGCCAACGATTTCAGCCTTGCTTCTCAGCAGTGTTTTAAATATTATAAACATGTCACCTTGCGGATTCATTAGCTGTTTCTCTTTTCTCCTCAGGTTGAAATACAGTAAAGACTCTAACAATATTCTAAATTCCTGGCCAAGAGTTACAAGACCAACATTAACAGCTAACTGTCCTCTGCTCAAAGCCACCTTGAAATGTCAAGTGCTCTTGTGGCTTTATGGCAGTGGCAAAAAAAAAAGTAACATTTCTAGCTGCAGTGGCTGAGGCCCTTTGAGGACATGGTTTATTCCCTAGAGGGGTTGGTGCTGCTGAGCATTTTCTCAAAGTGTGGTACCTGCAGCTCTGAGTGTCACTGTGTATATTTTTCTTGGGGTGCCTCTCTGTTTCCATTTAGCAAAAGTATATTCACTTAGCTTCCAATTTTATTAGTGAATCTGAATGAATTGTAGTCATAGCCAGATATGCTAAGGTTGTTACAATGCACAGTGGGATGTTTCTGTGGTCCTACTGGATCTGAGGTGCAGGCTAAGAAGACAAACCCAGTGAGGTGTAAATGCCCCGATGGCAGCATAGAAAAGCTCTAGAGTACATGAGGTCTCCTGGGATGTTTGTTATGTTGCAGGTGCACTTTGAGATCACCTGCATCAGATGTTATGTGGCATGGTAACCAGGAATGTACCATGATTCCAAGCAGGTCTTCTAAGCAGATTGGCCACCAACTAGTTAGAGATGCACAAACCCTACAGAGGACAGAATTTACTCCTCACCATAGCCAGTGTCAAAGGACCAGGAGGTCCTTTGGGATGAGAGCTGGAGAACAATCACGACCTCCTGTTTCTCTACCCACCAAAGGCTCTAGAATCTATATGGCCTTCTATGGCAGTCTGACCGAACCTTACAGGATTTGCTGCTGGCACAGTCATTAATAAAGCTACGAAAGGGAAAGGACTATGAGAAGTAGCATGTCTTCTGCCCTCTCTGATGCTTGAACATGTGGAATCTAAACTTTAGAATTTCCTATTTTATCAGTGCTGGCACAGACACCTGCTGCAGCTCTCTCCAGCCCCCATGCCTCTCTGGCTCTGTGCAGGGCGGCCCCACGCCTGCAGGAGCTTGCTCAGTGCACATGTTGGGAGTGGGATGGGTGCAACCCACTGCATAAGAGGACTGGGAGTTGGTGGGTAAACAGCCAGCTTCCCTTCCCTTGCTGGGGCAATCCTAAGGTACATTCAACAGAGTTCAGCAGAAGGTTTGCAGCAGAAATGACCCTGTCACTTGCAGCAGTAACCTAATTACTAACCCACCTTTCAGTGGCTTTTCCTACTCACTTTTACCTCCCTCACTTGTGTTTCTGGGGGGATCACTGCCCAAATAACTTTCACCTATGTTCTTACCTCAGCCTCAGCATATGGAGAAAACCAAACTAAGATTCAATCTTCTAGCTAAGAAACATTCTTCATCCCTCTACCCCTTATGAATTGTTTTGTTTTATTTTTAAGAATTAAGAATAAAAAAGAAAACAACACTATTGAATTATAATGGGCTAAACTCATGTGAACCAATTAGTTTTAAATCACTCAAAGTATAGACTAACATAAAAAGATACCAATAATAGAAATGCACTTTCAAATGTGGTGACTGGTCCTGACCCTATTGACTGGGTAGCTAACATTTCAACTTTTCAGCTGCAATCGTGACAGTCCTGACACAATTCAGAACAAGGACATGACATCTGAAATCAAAGAAGGAAAGAGAGCTACACTTGATTCAAGTGCAGACTATGTAAGGAAACCAATTACGTGCTCACGGCCATAGGAACTGTGCATGACTTTGTTATTAAGAATAAGGTTTTATGCATAAAAATGTTATAGAGACAGTCATAGTCTCAGGTTGAAAATTACACAGTAACTAAACCTTACAGTTCCTACAAACATAAACTCAAGATGGATTACAGACTCAAATGCAAAACATAAAACTATGAAACTTAGGAAAAAAAGAGGACTTTGGTCTAGGTAAATAGTTCTTAGAGTATTTACATCCAAATGTATAATCCATGAAGGAAAAAGTTGATAAACTGGGCTTCATTAAAGCTAAAAACCTTTACTCTGCAAAAGACCCTGTGAAGACTGTGAAAAGACAAGCTAAGATTGGGGAAAAATATTTGCAAACCATACATTCATCCAACAGAAAACTTATATCTAGAAGATATGAAGAACTCTCAAAATTCAACAATAGAGAAAAAACAATCCAATTAGAAAATGGGCAAAAAAAAACATGAGACATTTCACCAAGGAGAATATACAGATGGCAAAGAAACACATGCAAAGATGGTCAAAGGTACTCAGCCATTAGGAGACTACAAATGAAGCCACAGTCACCGCACACCTATCAGAAGGGCTAAAATAGAAAATAGTGACACGAGCAAATGCTCAAGGGGATCGAAGAAATGGGACCTTGATGTGTATCCAGTGGGGATGAGTGGAAAATAGCTACCGCAGAAAACAGTTCAGCAGCTGCTTATAAACTAAACAGTTTACTATGTTTATAAACATAATATGTAATTAACATACAACCCAGCAATTGTACTTATGAGCACTTATTCCAGAAAAATGAAAACTTACGTCCACACAAAAACTTGTACACAGATATTCATAGCAGCTTTATTTATAATAATCTAAAACTGGAAATGACCCACATGTCCATCAAGGTGAATAGTTAAACTATGGCCATCCATATCACATTGTATACCACTCAGTAATCAAAAGGAATGAACTATTGATTCATGCAAGCACTTGGGTGAATCTCCAGGAAATTATGCTGCATGAAAACAGCCAGTCCCAAAAGGTTGCAAATTTTATGATTTCACATATATCATATTATTGAAACATATATCACATATTATTGAAATGATAAAATTATAGAAATATAGACCAGATTAGTGGATGACAGGGATTAAAGGGAGTGGGGTCAGGGAGGGAAGAGGATGTGGTATAAAAGCCTCATGAAGGATCTATGTGGTGATGGAAGCATCTTGTATCTTCACTGCATCAATGTCAACACCCTGGCTAGAATATGGTACTTTAGTTTTGCAAGATGTTAGTACTGGAGAAAACTGGTAAGGGGTACAGAGGATCTCTCTGTAGCATTTCTTACAACTGCATGTGAACTCACAGTTATGTCAAAATAAAACCATTTAATTTTTTAAAATAGAACAAATAAACAGGAAAATTAATAAATCTGAGAAGATTCTAATATCATGTTTATATATAAAGGCAAATACCTTACTGAATATTAATATACATTAAGTAACAGGATAAAATGGGAAAAGTGATTATGGAAACCAGGAATCCAATGAATAATGGCTACCTAATTGTTGTAAACATTGTTTTTAAGTATCACAAAGGTTTCAATGTTAATCCTCAAAACTTAAAGAAATATTACTCTCAAAGCCTAAAGCCATTTCTGCTATTCTAGAAATGGTTTTAGATGGCTCCCTTAATTGTTTGCTTTTACTACATGAGAAACTAAGCCAAAGCCATCTTCCAACAATAAGTTGTGCCAAGGTTGCCAAGAACATTACTAGTTCCACATTCTTTAAAACAGTTCACCAGCAGCTCTTGTTCTACTGCATTCCATAAAATAAACCCATTCACACACTGGAGAATTTGAAGCCTCTTCTTTCTTTTGTTTGACATGACCTCAAAGCCTGCATCTGCTTGTCTGTCCTTTAAGCAGTTTCTCAGCAGGCTGACTGAGGGGCTGCTCCATAATTTCAATTCTTTCCTGTTCATCCAACCTGTTGCATGAACCTAAAAATAAACCCAATAAACCATGGATTTTTTGCTTCTAATCTGGATATAGCTCTCTTTAAAAAGGCAGAAAAAAAGTGGCAAATTTCATGCCATTAAAACATGCTAATACAACTGTAAGATATAATTTCTCATGTTGACAAGTTTTAATAGTAGGCAATTAACAAATTTTGCACATTTGGGGTTTGATGACACATTGACCATCAGAGGGACCTTGGCCCCAATTGTGTTCACATACGCATATGTACTGGTTGCTGTGTAACAAATTATCCTACAATTTAGTGGCTGAATGCAACCATAAATATTTGTATCTCACAGTTTTGTGAACCAAGAATTCAGGAGTGTTATACTGAAGAGGCTCAGGGTCTCTAATGTGGAACAAGACTAATGCCTCCATGTGAAGGCAGGCAGAAGTGACGAATTTCCTCTTACTCAAGAGAGGTGAGATTCTTGCTTCAATTCAGGTCATCAACTGATTAGATGAGGCCCACCTACACTGTGGCAGGCATCTGCTTACCAGTTTATAGATTTAAATTTAAGTTCATCCAAAAATGTACAGACATGTTTGAACAAAGTCTGGACACCCTAAGGCTTACTCAAGTTAACACAAAATTAGCCATCATACCCACTATTTCCCTTTAAACTTATCAACATTAATTATAACCCTATTCTCCTAATTTGGTATTTCACTCAGTCACCCATTGCCCATCTGTAATAATGTATGAGTTCTCAGGTGCATTACCACCCTGCTCACACTCATCTACAATGCTTTTCCTTCCCTTTCCCTATATCTCGAGTCTCTTTCTCACCACACACACATAAACACCCAGCTCTGATGCCTAAGTTTCAGTGAAGCAGTTAATATTTCAAATATTAACTAATATTTCAAAATATTTCCTATAAAATCAGAAATATTTAAATTGTAGACTGTTATTATGCTTTCTCTCCCAGAATGAATGTTAAATCTCAACAATCCTTTGTTAACACTCATGTGCTCACTTCTCAGTCATTAATCATATCCACTTTGATATCAAATGCATAATACAAGATATATTGTTCATAGTGTGTCAGAGCTCTTTACCTTCTTAGCTTGATTAAAGTAATTTCTTCTAGTATCCTCAAAAAATGTATGCAGTTTTACTTTCTGAGGCTCTACGTGTCCAAAATGACCACAATTTTTTCTGAAACATGACTTTCATTTTTCTCAATATAATTTACTTGTATAATTATTCTTAATTGTTATCTTCTATCTTCCAATGTTGTTAATGAGACATGTAATGCTAATCCCTTTTTTATGTTTAAAAAAATTCTGAAGCTTATAGGTGTTTGTTACTTTATCAGGAAATTCACTGGAGTAAGTCTGAAGAGATGTCTTGGGATAGAGTTTCATCGACAATGTGGTCCTGTGTAGACACACAGAGGTGTGTCAGCAAGCATGGACTGACCCCCTGATATCCCAGTGGAGGGGCACTCACACAAGTAACAGGAAGAGTATTTTAAGTGTACCTGAAAGGCTAGTGTATGGAATAGAATGTTCTATTCACATCTGGTCTCAGTGTCCCACAGGCTGATCAAGAGGTATATCTCCGACACTTGTCAAGGTATCTGGAAGCTGGTTGGAGCAGCAAAGTGTGTGTTTAAGTTGACTGCACTCTAGGTACTTCCTTGCAACTGCTTTTTTAAAGGCAGCTTTCTTCTGAGGATCTTACATGCCATATCCATTATAAAGTCCTCCTTAGCACTTCCTGGTGCAGTATTTGCATATGCCTCTCCTGAAGTAAAGCCTCCCTTGGTAATGGCAGATAGAACAGCAAGGGGGATGAGAATGCACTGGTACTCACACACACCCCTGAAATGGGGAATCCCAATGTCCTCGTCCACCACAATGGGCAGCCTGGCCACACTGAAGCTTCATTTCCTCTGTCCTGTCTCCCAACTTGGGATGGAGAAGGTTACAAGCAAGCAGTTGTTAAACCCTGGAAGAGAAAATTCATAGACCCAGAGGGCATTATGTTAAGTGAAATAAATCAGACAGAGAAGGGCAAATACCATATGATTTCACTTATATGTGGAATGTTGAAAAACAACAAAAAAAAAATGAACAAACAAAATAGAAACAGACTCATAGATACAGAGAACATTTTGATGGCTGCCAGATGGGAAGGGAGTTGGAGGGTTGGGTAAAAAGGAAGAAGGGATTAAGAAGTATAAATTGGCATTTACAAAATGCTCATGAGGATGAAAAGTACAGCTTAGGGAACATGGTGAATAATATTGTAATAACTAGGTATGGTGCCAGCTGGGTACCATCGGGGACATCACTTTGTAAGTTATATAAATGTCTAACCACTATGCTGTATACCTGAAACTAATATACAATAATACTGAATGTCAATTGTAATTGGAAAAAGAAAGGAAGAAAGGAATGAAGGGAAGGGAAGGGAAGGGAAGGAAAGGGAAGGGGAGGAAAGGGAGAAAGGAGGGAGGGAGGAAGGGAAGAAGGAAGGAAGGAAGGAAGGAAGACAGAAAAGAGATGAGAGAGAGAGAGAGAGAGAGAGAGAGAGAGAGAGAGAGAAGAGCACTGGCTGATATGGCTCAGTGGATTGAGAGCCAGCCTGTGAACCAAAGTGTCGCTAGTTCAAGTCCCAGTCAGGGCACATTCATGGGTTGTGGGCCAGATCCCCAGTAGGGGGCACTCAAGAGTCAACCACACATTGATATTTCTCTCCCTCTCTTTCGCCCTCCCTTCCTTTCTCTAAAAAAAAATAAATAAAATTTTTTAAAAAGAGAGAGAGAGAGAAAAGAAAGAAAGATCAAAAACAATATGCCATTCCCAGGATGAAAGGCAGACCCAGCAAGGTACCCCTGGGGCCACAGCCACCCTGGGAGGCCAGTGTCTCAGGCGGTGTCTCAGGTGGTGTCTCATTTCTCCAATCTCTCAGCTTCACCTGCAATGTTCAGAAAACAGAGATCACAAACCATGTGACTCTTTTATAGCAAGAAATGACACCAACTAGGGCAAGAGAGTAGGAGTGTTGGGGCCCCTCCCCCACACCCAAGAGTGACGCAGATTGTCCTCTAAAAGAGCAAGGATGATGAAAAAAATTTCTCAATGCCAATAAAAAGCCACAGCAGAAGGGGTAAAGAGGCATTATCTAATCATGCAGAAAATGGGAGAGGAGGAGGCTGTCAAAATGCTCTCTTCTCCCTCGAAACATCTCAGCTGCTCTCTCCTTGAGCAGAAGGAAAAGCTCTTTGAAAAAGCAACGATTTGCCTCAAAAACATTCATTTAAAAAGTCTTACAATTATTGACATTCTCATTAGACATTGGCAGGAGCAGAGTATCTCCCCTGTGCCTGCTGAGAGAAGAGTTTGTTTTTTAGGAGGGGAAATAAAACAAAGGCACAGTCCAAGGACGCTGTGCTCAAAGTGCACGTGATGTGAACTTGATTGTCCCAGCAATAATGAGCCTGAGACTGTGCTGTTATCCACCTGGGCAGGCTGCCCCACATCTCTCTCTCTCTCCCATCCCCCCACCCCTCAGACACAGAAGCTCAGCTGGGCATCCGTCCAAATGACTCATTATATTCTAGCTGTATTCAGCACAAAAGTCATCTAACATCAGAGGATCAGTTACATCAACTAACAAGCACAGGGATTGATAAGCAGCTAAAATTAGGTCATAGCAAAGCAGCGCTTCTGATGGATGAGGTGAAATTTAGCCACAGGTTTGCTATTTAAAGATCTGTTATGGTTCCTTTCCTGTAACCACAATGAGCACACAACAAAGGATCAGGCCTCTGATGAAATGTTTAATCATTGCTATTTGCCCAGCTGACTGTGGTAACGATTTACAGGTTTTTGAAGAAGCGTTCAGTTCTTGACTGAGCAACATAAATAAATGCATTTTAATTCCATATCCAGAGCCTAATGGCGGCTATTTCTCCCTCCTCAGGGTGAATTCCATCAAGTTATTTTAATCACTTTTAAAAGCATTCTGTCAAACACTTTAGCCTCCAAATTATGACCCAGTTTGGTGTTTCAAAATTCTTCATCCAGTTAAAGCAAATATGCTCTCGATTGCCAAATGTATTCACTTTGTCCTAGTGGCCTGATGTCTTTGCTTTCCCTTTTCCTTCAATTTTAGAATTGCACACAGTTCCTAAGTGACTCACTTTCTTCTCTTCAGTTTACATATTTCCATTTCGTGGTGCTCCAGATTGGGGCTCCCGTTTAGTTGCATTTAGGTTAGTTGCGCTGAAGTTCCAGCCCTGCAACAGACAAGAGTTCTGGTTTCTTTATGTGATGTATTACGTTTATTGACTTGCGTATATTGAACCATCCCTGCATCCCTGCGATGAATTCCACTTGATCATGGTGGATAATCTTTTTAATGTATTGCTGGATGCGGTTTGCCAATATTTTGTTGAGGATGTTAGTGTCTATGTTCATCAGCAATATTGGTTGTAGTTTTCTTTCTTTGTTGTGTCTTTATCTGGTTTTGGGATTAGGATGATACCAGCCTCATAAAAAGAGTTTGGGAGTCTTCCTTCATCTTGGATTTTTGGAATAGTCTGAGAAGGACAGGGGTTAGCTTTTCCTTAAATGTTTTATAAAATTCTCCTGTGAAACCATCCAGCACAGAGCTTTTGTGTGCCAGGAGTTTTTTGATTACTGCTTCAGTTTCACCAGTTATCGGTCTGTTCAGGCTTTCTCCTTCTTCTTCCTTCAGTGTTGGAAGGCTATACTTTTCTAGAAATTTGTCCATTTCATCAAGATTTTCAAATTTCTTGGCATATAATTGCTCATAGTAATTTCTTACAATCCTTTGTATTTCTGTGGTATCAGTTGTTATTTCTCCTCTTTCATTTCTGATATTATTTATTTGGGTCCTCTCTCTTTTTGTCTTGATGAGTCTGCTTAAAGGCTTGTCAATTTTGTTTATCTTTTCAAAGAAACAGCTCCTGGATTGGTTGATCCTTTGAATTGTTCTTTTAATCTCTATGTCATTCAATTCTGCTCTGATCTTGATTATTTCCTTCCTTCGACTTGCTCTGGGATTTATTTGTTGTTGTTCCTCCAGTTCTTGAAGTTGCAGGGTTAGGTCATTTATTTCAAATGTTTCTATCTTTTTCAGGTAAGCCTGTATTGCTATGAACTTCCCCCTCAGGACTGCCTTTGCTGTGTCCCATAGGTTTTGGATGGTTGTGTGCTCATTTTCATTTGTTTCCAGAAACTTTTTGACTTCTTCTTTGATCTCATTATTGACACATTCATTGTTTAATGTGTGCTATTCAGTCTCCATGAGTTTGAAAGTGTTTGAGGTTTTTCCTTGAGGTTGGTTTCCAGTTTCAAGCCCTTGTGGTCTGAGAAAATGCTTGTTATTATTTCAATTTTCCTGAATTTGTTGAGGCTTGTTTTGTGACGTATCATGTGGTCTATCTTTGAAAATGTTCCATATGAATTTGAAAAGAATGTATATTTTGCTTCTTTGGGATGAAAGGTTCTATATACATCCCATAAACAAAAGGAAAGACAAAAACCACATGATCATCTCAATAGATGCGGAAAAAGCATTTGATAAGGTACAGCACCCGCTTATGATAAAAACACTCAGCAAAATGGGAATAAAGCGGGCATGCCTCAACATAATAAGGGTCATATATGAAAAACCTACAGCCAACATTATACTCAACGGGCAAAAAAACCTAAAAGTTTCTCCACTAAGATCTGGAACAAGACAAGGATGTCTGCTTTCGCCACTTCTTTTCAATATAGTATTGGAAGTCCTAGCCACAGCGATCAGAAAAGAAAAAGAAATAAAAGGCATCCAAATTGGAAAGGAGGAAGTAAAACTGTCATTGTTTGCAGATTACATGATAGTGTACAGAGAAAGCCCCATAGAGTCCACCAAACAACTACTCGACCTAATAAGTGAATTTGGCAAAACAGCAGGATATAAAGTCAGTATTCATTTGTATATTTGATGGCATTTTTGTACACCAACAATGAAATATCAGAATCAGAAATCAGGAAAAAAAAATTTGCTATAGCAACAAGAAAAATTAAGTACCTAGGAATAAATTTAACCAAGGAAGTAAAAAGACCTGTACTGAGAAAACTATACAACACTGAAGAAAGAAATTAAGGAAGACACAAATAAATGGAAGCATATACTGTGCTCATGGATTGGAAGAATTAGCATCATCAAAATGTCCAGAATACCCAAAGCAATTTATAGATTCAATGCAATCCCTATTAAAATACCAATGACGTATTTCACAGACATAGAACAGACATTTCAAAAATTTATATGGAACCATAAATGACCCCGAATAGCTGCAGAAATTTTAAGAAAGAAAAACAAAGCAGGAGGGATCACAATACCAGACTAAAAACTATATTACAAGGCCACTGTAATCAAAAGAGTCTGGTGCTGGCACAAGAACTGACACATAGATCAGTGGAACAGAATAGAAAGCCCAGAAATAAACCCATGTCTCTATGGTCAATTAATATTTGACAAAGGGGGCAGAAGCATAATTTGGAGTAAAAATAGCCTCTTCAACAAATGGTATTGGAAGAGCTGGACAGCTACATGCAAAAAATTGAAACTCGACCAACTTACACAGTATACAAAAATAACTCAAGATGGATAAAAGACTTAAATGTAAGTTGCGACACTATAAAAGTCCTAGAGGAGAACATTGGCAGGAAACTCTCAGATATCCCACACAGCAATATTTTCACAGATATGTCCCCAAGAGCAAGGGACATAAAGGAAAGAATAAACAAGTGGGACCTCATTAAAATAAGAAGCTCTGCATGGTTAAAGAAAACGTCAGCAAGATGAAAAGGGAACCAACCATATGGGAAAATAGATTTGCCAATGATACATCAGATAGGGGTTTGATCTCCAAAATATATAAAGAACTCACATGACTCCACTCCAAGAAGACAAACAATCCAATTAAGAAAATGGGCAAAGGACCTGGACAGACACTTCTCCAAGAAAGAGACATAGAGGGCACAGAGACAAATGAAAGGATGCTCAGCAACACTAGCCATCAGAGAGATGCAAATTAAAACCACAGTAAGATACCACTTCACACTGGTCACAATGGGCATCATAAACAGCTCAACAAACAACAGGTGCTGGCAAAGTTGTGGAAAAAAGGGAACCCTAGTACACTGTTGGTGGGAATGCAGACTGGTGCAGCCATGGTGGAAAGCAGTTTGGAATTTCCTCAAAAAGCTAAAAATGGAACTGCCTTTTGACCCAGTGATTCCACTGCTGGAATTATGCCCTACAAATCCCAAAACACCCATTTGAAAGAACCTATGCACCCCAATGTTCGTAGCAGCACAATTGACAATAGCCAAGTGCTGGAAGCAACCTGAGTGCCCATCAGTAAATGAGTGGATCAAAACACCATGGTACATTTACACAGTGGAGTACTACACAGCAGAAAGAGCTACTACCCTTTGCTACAGCATGGATGGAACTGGAGAGCATTATGCTAAGTGAAATACGCCACAGGGTGAAAGACAAATACCATATGATCTCACCTATAAGTGGAACCTTATCAACAAAACAAATAAGCCAGGAAAATATAACCAGGAACATTAAAACAAAAAAGAAACCAATAGGACCAAGAGGGAAGGCGGGAGGGTGGGATAGGGAAAGGGAAGGGAATGGTCAAGTCAAGGAACATGTGTGGAGGGCCCATGGACAAAGCCAAACTATAAAAGGATTGAGGGAGGGAGGTGGGGGAGGAGGGCAGGGGAAAGTGGTGGTGGGAAGGTGGAGGAAAATGTATTTGAACAATAGAAATATAAAATAAATTTAAAAAAAAAAACAGTTCTGGTTTTTTAACCCTGGAGGAGGTGGGGCCTAGAGCCACACATGCAGGCTATGGTGGCTGTGGGTCAGTGTGTCCTGTCTGGGC